GGTCGAAAATTTTATAATTAATAAAAGCTTCCTCCAGCAAACTGGAGAGCCGCGTGCGGCTCCCTTCGTAATAAGCAGCAATAATAAAGTAATAAACGAAAGACAAAAATTTCGTTTCTGGACTTTGGAGGCATTGTTTTTAGAATAGACATTGACTATCGAAGCAGAATTAAAGACATATACGTTGAGAATATACTCTACCAAGATATCTTACTGAATAACATCATGGAAATAATAGAAGAAAAACAATGTCTAAGAAAAGGCAAGACTGTTCATGGATTCCAGACATTGTACGATCAGAAATAGGAAAATATAGAAATGAATATCATACAAACATAATCGCGAAGAATATGGCGGATTTATGGAGAATCGTTTTTTAGATTATTTGGAAAAGATTTGGATTTCAAATCAGAAATTCTACAATTCTACATTATTATCAATTTTAAAGGCGAACAGCTAGACAAATTTACTGGAATAATGAGTGAAACCTTGTCACAGTACATAACTATTACGTGTCACAGTACGTAATAGGAATGTATTTTAAAGCTGAACGATAAACGATACAGTTAGTTGCTACAGAGAAATGACCTAAAGTGAAAAGGATAAACAAATATCTAAGACATTGAAATTTTTAACCAATGAAATTACGATAAATATGCGTTTTTAAAAATTGTTCATAATAAAGAAATTTGAATTTTTAAATTGCGTTTTATTTATTGAAAAATAGGAAGGGGAAAAATATTTTTAAACCTATTATTCTATTCTATAGGTATTAATTTTTCAGTCCGATTTTAAATAGTCTGGGTAAATAAATGTTGGACCGATTAGCCAGGCTGCAAAAGATTTTTGTTTTCAATTTAATTTTAAATTACATTTTATTGTTAAGCAATTTCAAATCCATGTGAATTTTATTTTACCATATCGGGCAATTTCATGCTTGAAAGAGTAGAGCCAAACTTCCTTCTTATCTTCCTCTTCAATTTTAAATTATTAGCGCAAAGGAGCGTTAACTCAGAAAAGCTATTAATTTCGTTTTGGCATTTTGCGTCGATTCACGATAAGCGTTGTTTCACTTTTCAAATTGTTGCCGCCAAATATTATGGCCCTGTACTATATTTAAAGAACAGTACCTGTACTTTATTTAAAGAAATTAAATAATGAATAATACGCATGAATGTATGGATGTTTCCCGCACTGTGAAAAAACAAAGCGGCCCAGAGACTTCAAATTTTGAATAACTTAGTCATTCAAAATTTCAAATTCAAAATTCACTCTACTCAGATATAAGCGTATGGAAGCCAGAATTTGGAATTTGTTTTATTATCCATTTCATATTTTGTAAAAATTTAAACGAATTTTTGATTAACAAACTCAACGATTTCAAAGCGAGAGATGGCAACACTGTACGGGGGAAGAACCGTTTATCGGAAATCCTAAAGATATGCGGCTCACCAGCGGCCGAGCGGTGGTAGTTCGCTGAACACTGGTAGTTCGGTCCGAGGTTCGAATCCCGCGAACGGGCTGGCTGCATGGGCGTTTTCGTGGTTTTCCCCATGTGTAACGTGTATACGAGCCAGTTTCCCTTAGAAAGTCCTCCACGAAAGGCATCCCTCCCCTTAGGCAGATAGCCCTAGTGTGCTTTGCCATAATTAAATACACACACACACACACACCTAAAGATATGCTATTTTAAATATTTTGCGATATTGCCGCTGGATTGAATTTTATGTTTTAACGGAGAAGAACATGATCTTTAATAAATAAAGGTAACAAGCAAAACGTTAAAAAAAAAAAAAAAAAAAAAAAAAAAAAAAAAAAAACCTTCGGTTAAACATGGTTAAATTCATATAAATTTCAGTTCACCGTTGTTCGACTGTCCTACAGAAGCCAAGTTTAGCAAGTTATCGCCAAACGTGAAATCGTGCATATGGAGTGGCGCAAACTGTAAGAAACCACTTTTTTCCTATCTGGCTCAAAATCCACGGCTAGAAGTGGACATCACTGTTCTTTTAGGGGTAGACCGATATTTCATTCTCAAAAGAGGAACGACAACATAAAATCCGCGTCTTTTCTAGGATTTGAGCCCTAGTCTGTTAGTAGCTCATGAGAAAATAAATTTTGCAGAAATATCTTTAAGGATTTCGCCCTTTAGAAATACAAAATATATAAACGTAAAAGTTAGATTAAGCTAAAACTAACATTTTCGAAAATATCTGAATTATACTCTATTAAGTTATACTCTATTAAGGCTTTCAACCACTTAACTACCAATGAACACGGTTTAGGCTTCTACCAAAATATCTTTGTAACAAGAGTCCTATTTATCAAAGCCTGAAACTTAGAAAATAATTTTTCTACACTTATGTTCCAATTCCAATTGATATTTCCTGAGAAGATAACGGAAATCAGCAAAAACCTTCAAATTTCATTATTGGCTGTTACGGTCTTGTCGGAACTTTCTTTCACCCTAAAACAAGCAATGACCTAAGCACAAGATAAAGAAAAATAAAAAAAAAAAAGAGGGGTAACTTTTTCTTTTCCCGTTCCAATCAGATGAAGGGAGAGCGAGATGATTAAAAAAAAAAAAAAAAATCTAGTGTCAGCAATTAGGGGTAGTTCGTGGGGCTAGGTAGTTGGGGGAGAGTTCGGACTTAGCAGACCGAGATAGAGGGTGGGTCTTTCGATCGATAGGGGGAGGAATCCGCAGGCAAGTAGAACATGGAATACTTGTAGGGTAAAGAGCCCTGCAAGGTTGATTCTGTGGGGCATACTTTGATACTTCTCAGGTGAGATTTTTTTTTTTTTTTCTTTCATAAGCACATGAATCTCCAACGGAAATGAATTAAAATTCTTTGAAGAATAAATCAAAAGGAACGAAATTTCTCTATATGTGTAAACAATATTATGAAGAATTCGTTTCCTATCAAAAGAGTTCTTTTAATGCTTGTTTTATGGCATGCAATTGCTACAAGGATAACTTTGTCTCGAATAGTTACAAGGATGAAATAACTACGCAGCATTCAATGGCACAGGGCATTATAGACCTATATTTTCAAAAGTAACAGAAAACAGTTTTTCTGTCTATTTGAAAGAAACTGAAATATGTTTGTACACTCTTACGCTTGTATATTCTTTGTAAAATTTTTGCATATTATTTTGTATTACGTAATGCTGAATGCTAAAATTTCATTATAGTTCTTCCAAAATTTAATTTCTGTTTTATATGTAAGGCTATCTACGTATATATACGTATCTAATAGTAGTAGTCAACCATAAGTTGAATTAATTCTTAAGCAATGTATGCTACTCTTCTTTAATTTAATAAACGAAGAATGAATTAATTAGTAAGATTTAATTATAAGAATTTAATTAATAAAAGTTAAAAGAAGCACCCTTCTTTAGTTAAGTCCACAATCACTAAATTTACCCAGTTATAATTTGCATCCAAACAGTAGAGAAAATAGCATATTCTTTTTTTAATATACAATGAACCCTTTGGTGGAGATCACCTGCAAAAAGATCAGTATTAAATAATCATCAGTACATAAATAAACCTCGATGCTCAACACCACCTTTCTAAAAAGGACCACCTCTACAGCAGATCAAGTCATTTGTAGCTGTTTGTGGTCGTTTTAGAGAGATGGAGTTCTGCATTGTTTTTAAGTTTTTCCCTTTTCCTTCTAAGTCATAGAGCACAGACTATAAATGAAGAAATTATTTAATTCGATTTTGATTTTGATTCATGAATTAAGAATTTTGCGAAGTTTACATTAGATCGTTAAAATATTACATATATAGCATTATATGAAACCTATTAGCCTAACATACCTCACGAGTGGCCGAAAAACGCTGAATACTGGGAGTTCAACCTAGGCGAGCAGGTTGGTTGAATAGTTGATTTTCTTCCCCCCCCTCTGTGTAACGTGAATACAAGCTACTACTAGTTTCCCTTAAAATGTCCTTCACGATGGTATTCTTCCTTTAGGCATATATTCCTCGTGTGCTTTCCCATATTCAAGTAACGTAATTTAATCACGATTATTACGCTTTTCATAGCGGGAATGTGAAAATCGATCGCATCCTCTCCAGGAATAGAAGCAAGGACTTTCTACTTTGACAGCCGAATGTGCTAACTACTACATAGCAGGGCACACATGGGAAAATGCTATAATTCCTAACACATTTCTTTTTTTGAAATGTTTACACAGATAACTTATGAAAGCAAAGCACTTGAGATCTGTCTGCCTTGGAAAAACTGCCGTCATAGAAAACTTTCTGAGGTAAAACTGATTCGTATTCGTTTTAAATATCCCGAAACTATGAAAATCTGTTCGGCCAATATATTCAATTTAAAAGCCATGAAAATGAGCAACCAGTGTTTAGTGATATTATCCACTAACCCATTGATGAACTAGCTTAAATGCAAAAATGATTTTATGTATAATTTGGATGATTAATTTACACTCATGTTCATAAAGTATGAATAATGGAAAATCAGGCAAAGAAAGAGTTAGAAGCAAAACAAATTTGACTTATTTGTAAAGCTTCTTTATTAAACAAAAGGTAAAGAGCAAAAAAAATGCTTATGTTGATATTATTAAAAAAATAGCGATTTTTTCTCCCTGGAGCAATTACAAAAAAAAATCTATTTACAATAACCATATTCATGGTTGTATGATTGTTAATACATTGTATGTCTGCCAGCGATGCAATACAGTCCGTACAAACGCCTAGGCATGCTGGTATCAAATTATCGATCTGATCTTGGAGACATTACCCCACTCAAAAGCAATGTCTCCGAAGTTCGGAGACAGCAGAGGGGTGACGGCTGCAATGTCGGCCAGCTGTCTCACTTGCTTGGATTCAAAGTCAAGTAAGTCGTCTCTAATCTGGTTTTACTGCACAGTATTGACAATATTATCGGCCTCAGCCATTAGCATTTATTAAAAGGTGCGTAGCACCGTGCCTAGGTAAGAGAACTTTTGGGGCAATCAGATTATAAAGCCAATGGACAGGTTGTAGAAACAAGTGTGACGTCAAAGTTAGTAGGCCCACGTGATGTTCTCGAGGTTTGGATTCTCAATTGGGAAGCCATTGCTTTGCGGTGTACATAGACTGGAATGTTAGCACGTGCTGTCGGGGAGAAGAAATACTTGGTAAGTTCGTATTTATTGAAATGTAACTTTATATTTTGTTCATTGAAATAAACGCTTGCTATTACTAATGTTGAATTAAATTAAGTATTAATTGCTTAATTATTAGTAACACACGTATACTTATTATGTTTATCTCCGTATTGATTAGCCATTATTATTATTATTAATCTTATTTCTGAATTTACTTAATATATTTTGTTTAAGTGCATCACCGAAGTTTTAATTTTATGTGTGCAGTATCTAATGTTACGTATTTTCTTTTATAAAAGTTTTTTATTATTTCATTACTGTTTTACGAATTTTTAACCTAATCATTTATATAAAGCTTAACAGTTTTTAAAAATGTAATTGAAAGTAAACCTATACAATAAATCTAGTTAAATTAATAATTACGTATATCAGTTAACAAACGTATGTACGCTAATATGTGAGTGTGTAGATAAATATAATAGCTAATATGTGAGTGCATTGTATAATGAGTGTAAGTATAAGTGAGAATGGCAAACTTTTAAAGTTATGTGATCAAAGCGTTCAGTATTTGAAGAACAGTCTAGTAAAAACGTTTGTTTTATTGTGAGTTTAATTATATATTAACTTATCACTATTGAAAGATGTATTTTATGTGGTTTCTAAATTTATACTGTGTATTTGCATACAATGTATTTAAATATTAAAGCAGTAAATTCATCTTAACATTCCATAAATAGTGTTTAGTTTACCAAACAAAGTCTTTCTTCAGATTTCACGTATATATTTTACTGTTCAATATTCTAAATATTCTAAACATGATTCACCTGAAGTTTGATATTATTTTCATTTGACTGTTTCAGCATGTTTTAAATATCAAAATTATCATCATTGATGCGAGTAATAATTTCAGTATAATAATAGATATCTTAATAGAAGCTTAGGTGTTCTTCAGATACGAATTTCTTGAAGTCTCATTCATTCAAATGTTTGAATGACATTTGAAATTCTCCACCGTTGGTTTATGGTGTATCGAATTTCAATGTATAATTATGCAAATTTAAATTGTTATAACATTTAGTATTTATATAACTGATTTTTGTACTGTTTTTACAGAAAATATGCCATTTAAATGCTGTGTAACTGGTTGTCGGGGAAATTATAAAGGTACTGAAAAGGTGCATACATTTTCCTTTCCCAAAAATGATGCTCTTAGAGAGAGGTGGCTAAGAAATATACCTAGGAAGGACTTCTCAGCAACTCCATATTCTCGGGTAGGTGTAATCCTAATTAATTTATTAAGATTCAATAAATTGTTGGTAGAATATTCTTAGTCTGCTATGGAAACTTTCTGCAAGCTATAATTTTTACCTCCCGCCAACATGTATAAATAGGTTTCAGTGTATAGTTTTCTATTTGATGAATCAACAAATTACATTTAATTTACAAACAATCAAGGGCTAAATGATACTTCGAAGCTCGTTGCTGTATAAGCCATAGGTCAAGATAAGGCAGAGGAGGCAGGAGGTCGTATGCTGTCATGATCAGATTTTTTATATGTAGTGTTAACTGATCCTTAAATATTTGAAAGAAAATTTTAATTTGCATATATGCATTTAAAATTTAACCTGCCCAAAGCATTGCCAAAGCTTGAATGTTTTTATTTATAAGGAAAGTGATTCAATCTTGCTTTACAGTTGGTTGTTTTAAGAAGTTAGTTACATGATGTCTTCCTTTTACTTAATAGGTGTGCCATAAACATTTTCAACCTGATGACCTCATCTGGGAAACATCAGCTTTCGATGAAAAAAATGGGAAAATCATTAAAGCTTCACTGCAGAGACCAAAACTAAAGAAGGCGCTTTTCCTAGCATATTTGATGGCTGTCCATCGTATTTTCTTCACAAGCTGGTAGTTCGAGAAAAAGTCCGAATGAAAAAAAAAAATGGAACGAGAAGCAAACCTCATGATGAAAGCTATTGCTCATAGTAAATTATCAGCTGCTGAGTATTATAAATCGAGGACATTTTCAGACTTTAATGAACTTTTAACCTGTTGTATGCAATATAAATTTTCTACATTTTGGAACGTTGTGCACAAAGACAATATCTTGATGTTTTTGAATTTAAAATGCACTGATGGATGTGTAAAATTGCTTTATGCAGTCCACATTACTGCAGATCTTTTATTATCTGTATCGTTTCAAAATAAGTTATTGACTCATATCAGTAGTAAGTATAATGAGTTACCTATAAAAGTAAGTAATATTAATGAAATTCATGAAATACTTGATCATATTGAAATGTTAGAAACTAAAGACTTAATGAATTCGATTGAAATTATAATCAACCTGATGAAATCTTTAAGTTTCACAAATGAAGGTGATAAAATTTTATTTGAGTTCATGATTGAACAACTTTCTCTTGTAAAATGTAAGCCCCAAAATCGTCAATATTCATCCAATACCTTAATTTTAGCTTCTATGTTTTATTTGTTATCGCCCCAAGCATATAAATTTGTCCGACAATCTGGTAATTTTAATTTTGCCTCATCCAAGTACTATACATAAAATAAGTTCTAAATTAAATATAAATCCCCAAAAGGAAGCCGATGATACGTTGTTTTTGGCATATGTTAAGCAAAAAGCTTGCTATCTGAAAGAACACGGATTATACATATGTTTCGCTAATGATGGATGAAATTCACATCAGACCTTTTCTTCACTACAAAAGTGGCGATATTGTTGGAATTGGCCAGGTAGTTAATAACTTAGCTTCTAGTGCACATGTATTTATGATACAGAGTATTTTATGTAGCTTTAAAGATGTCCATATATTACCATCCAAGAAAATGACAGCTGAAGTTTTATTCACTCTTTTGAAAAAAATAATTGTTGGTCTTGAAGCAATAGGTTTCAAAGTAATTGTTGTTGTTAGTGACAATAATTCCATTAATAGAAGATGTATATCTCTGTTAATAATCCATTATTGTTTTTTATCCTCATGTTGATGCAATTGTTTTATGCAGTTGATTCTGTTCATATTAAAAAGTGTTCAACTGGTTAACCAGTTTTGAAAAGCTATTATTTTAAGTCCAAATCCTTTCATACTTAAAAATAATTATGAAAAAGTGAAAGTGAATTTTTTCTATACAATATCTCGTAAAGCTCTGTTAATTTAAAACATTCAAAGTGTGAAAGCTCTTGGCTTTACGTCAAAATTTAAATTTTAAAATCAATCCTGAAAGAAAGGATAATTTCGCCTGAAAATTTTCAGGAACAAATCTGCAATTTGTTAAAAAATCTGCCAATAATATTATGTCAAAACACCAAACAAGAATTTAATTGACTTTCTGTGATGACCATTAGTATGGAAACATTATGACAAAAAGTTTTGTATTTTTAAATAATTTTCTTGATTGGTTGATGAAATGGAAAGAAATGAAGAGTGATACGGGTAGGTTGACAAAAGAGACACTTTCTGCTCTTATATTAACAACAACGTGTATGATAGAAATGTGTAGGTATTGTCTAGGTGAACTCAACATGTCGTATTTTTTGCCCGGTAAAATTCAGACAGATGAATTGGAACATCGTTTTAGTTTATATCGCAGGATGGCTGGAACACAAATTATCATATATCACTTCGACAGGTTTTTGAAGTAGAAAACAAACTACGTGCATGTTCTGTATTAAATCTAACTATGATTATCGAAAAGTAAAGGGACAATTGTTATATATTTAAACTTTGATTGATATGATACTTCCCATTTGGCGATTGGTCCCCTAAAACCCCCGTCTTTAGAAGGGGAGTATAAGGTATTTCTCCCGCTTTCCTAGCGGCGTGCCTTCGTGGTGTCGTGGTTCTGCACGCTGGGCCGGTATTCCAGAGGTCCGAGGTTCGATTCCCGACGAAGGCATTTGCTTATTTTTCATCTCTCTTGCTTCCAAAAAATCCTAATGTCTCTACAAACTCTTTTGATTTGATTAATGATACTTCTAAATATACTGTAAAATATTTTCACAATTTCAAGCATATTGATGTCACAGATGATGATCTCGAAGCTATGGTTGATAAATTGCCTTTAATTGCATATTTGACTGGGTATTGTTCTCACTCAATTATGAACAGGCTAAAATGTGATAACTGTGGTGGTAATTTAGTTAATGGAAAAACCATTAATAATTCCTCACAATTTCAAACATATTCACAATTGTGATAGAGGTGGATTAAAGTACCGGTCTGCTGATGTTATTAACGTAATACTGCATAATTTAATTGTCGGGCAGAAGCTCAGAAGCTCTGAATATGAAGAAAAAGAGTTTTCTGCAAGTATTTAACCAACGTAATTTAATATCTGCTATGACATTAGAAATTCTTATGTGTAAAGAAATTAAAATTATTTAATGTAAAAACCATTTATCCCTTAAAATTATGTTATTGCTTATATACTCATGTACAAATACTCTTTTAAACAATTATTGTAAATTCAAAAATGACAGTGTTACTAAATATTCAGACGAAAGAAAACTAAAAACAGTTGCAGTGTAAGCATAAATAACAAAGAATATATTAGAAATGTACCAATATAATTCTTTGGCTTGGAAAATAATTTTAATGTGCTTCACTTCTTAATTTTAATTATCTAAACATGCATTAGTAAGTACATTTGCAATTTTGTCATTTTATTCTTTTTATAATTTAATTTCTTGTTTCTCTGTTATAGTAAATTAATACTCTGTATATAATAGTTAATGTTTTATATATTTAAATATGGATTGTAGTTAAATCTTATGTAAGAAATAATTTAAAGACTTCATTTTTATATTGTATTATTTTAACATTATATAATAACAGGCAATAGTTGCCAGTACATACCAGAATTAATTGAGATTTATATCATTTTTCACATCAAATATTTTTCATTTAAAATATAAATTGTACGCTTAGGAATTACTTTTGACTAATCTTTGTGCATACCATAGAAATTTTTAAGATATCAAGGAGTTTTGGTTTTCAGTATTGGGTTTCTTAAAATAGAGTTTTAATCGAATGATTTAAAAATTCAGCTTCTACTAGTAATTTAATGAAACCAAATTTGATATTTTAAGATAATTAAGTTTTGCTGGACTAAGTATCAAATCTTATTATATTACGTGTAAAATTTTAATGCATCTTTAATGAGTTTCATTGCTCCTGTACTGTAATGTGAGTATAATTATAATAATTTTGTTAAAAGCTACTCATTTAATTTAAAAATTAATAATGTTATTTGACCTTAAATTAATATTTATTCTGAAGTTTTAATGACTTTCATTGCTTCTGAAAAGTTATGCGATTTTATAACCAATGATATGTCTCTTTGCTAAGTTTTTCCCTTTATTTATTTTTCTATATAGAGAAAATAAAAAAAACGAAGTCAGTGTTTAATTTTCTGTAGGAGCTTTGTCTGATTCTTGTTAAATAATGTGATTAGCAGCATTAAAAGTGCGATAGTAGTAGTAACTGTGTTTCCTATTAAGGATCTAGTCTGATTAAACTATTTTAAATAGTTACAAAATAATTTTTATAGAGGTGATAAAAATATTTCGGAACACTTACTTTCTCAAAATATTTGTTACAATTTATGAAATATTACCAGCTTTAAATTTCAGGTGTCATCATAAAAGTAATCTTAATCATTGAAGAAATATAATTTAAGTAAATTCACTCTAATCAATTAAACACAGTTTTCAAACATATTCTGATAGTAACATAACATTTTATTTCGGAAATATAGTTTCTGGATTATTCTGAGATTCAATTATTTTACGCAAACTGTTAATCATATGCACGGAGACATTATCGCTATCGAAAGTTCCGCCGTTTCGTTTTCTAGGGCCTGGTGCTCGTGGCGTCACATACCATGCCAATGGCTTTATATATTTAGGAGGCAATGGCTGTACCTGGTTGCCGAAATACAGAAGTTGAACACAGCAACCGCGGCACTGCAAGGACAGACACTGAGCTGGTACAAGTGCATTCGTTAATTTATATTAGGAGAAGTAGGCAGCAAAACTTCTAACTTGGGTTTGTTTAAAGCAGCTCTTGTAAAAGCATTTACCGTGGTCAAAGATAGGGGGAAATTGTTTTGTAGATACCACATTAAGTTGGAAGAACTGACTGAGTTTATATTGAGAAATGTACAACTGATAAATATTATTGTTCTATATGAAAAAAAATGATCGCTGAAAAATGCGCGGTATTTGATTTATATCAAGATTCGTAATTTCACCTAAAGGTTTTGATTTTGACCCCGCTAAGATTCAGGCCATTGTTGAAATGACAAACACGAGTACGCTGGAAAAATTATTTGAGTTCGCGGTAAAGTTTGAATGAAAGAAGGATGAGTATAAGAAAATAGACGACTCCGGATCTGGCCAGAGTTCGAACGGATAATTCATAAAATCTTAGCGGAAGAAAAGAGTAAGGTTTGGGTGAACAAAAGGATGTGTGGCTTAGATCTTATTTTAGTGTTAAAGAAAATTTTTTTTTTCGTTTGATCCCGCTAACGGCGACCCTTGTAGTCACAAAGAGGGACAGTCCCTGAAACAAAAAACGTCAGATTATTTCTTCTAAAATAAAAACTTTCGCTCTATTCTTCAAGATCTATTAAAACAGGGGTCGCGGACGTATTTAAGGATATCAGGCTTTGTTTCTAATTTTTTTTTTTTTGTCATGGGTATTTTTGTTTTTTTTTGTCTTTTTTTTTCTTACAGTTACTTTTTAGAAAGAAAAAACCAAGGCCAACAGTGTGCCAAATTTG